ATTTTTACATTTAGGAGAGAAATGGCCTGGTTGGGAAGCAGTTAAAGTAGTGCAGAAAAATATCTGTTGAAGTGCCAGAAAAGTACTCTTAATCTCCAGTTGTGGGATAATAACACATTCGTTTTCTAAACTAAAATAAAAAAAAATGGTGTCAACTTTGTACAGCTGTCTTTTGCTAAACTACACAATACATCCTATTCTCCTCATCTATACAACATAGAAAGTAATCGTTCTGTAGTACAAATTAAAAACGTTGTTTGTTATTTCACCAACAGGGTTTACATATTGTATATATAAATGAGTTGATACCAATAGAAAATGTAAACAGGTGCTAAAGTTCTTGTCTAAACCAAGTCAGCTAACCTTGTTCCCCCTTCCGAGCAGTCATTTGGCAGCCTTCCAGTCCTATAAAGGTGATCTGGGCTGTTGTTGAGCTAACTTGAAGTATTCGATTGCTACCATATTGCTTCTGTACTGCTTCTACTGTGAAATGGAGGGTAACACAGTGCCAGCAGCTACATAGGTCAATGAAGACTTCTTCAAACTATTTGAATGGACAAAACACGCCCACAGGTTCACTTAAAGCCCAAGACCAGCTAACACTTTAGTTTGTTGTTGTTTTGTTTGTTTTGGGTAGACCAAGGAAGGGTTAGATTCTTTGTAAGTGTTGTATTGCCATCTTTGTCCCTGTTGAGGAGGAAAGAAGTGATAGGCAATCTCTAAAAAGAGGGTAATGATAAAAATAAAAGTATGTATTTAGTAGAGTGAAGAAGGGTTAGATTTGGCAACTGTTTTTATTGTTGTCTGTGCCTTATTGTTATGGGGACAATTGCCAGATATTCTACAAGTGTCAAAAGAGCAGCAAGTGAAGGAAAATCTCTTCAGTGGGGTCACAGATAGATATAAAAACCTAGTAAAAACTGTAACTCTTCTCCACTCTATCCAAAGCTGAAAGAAAAATTTTGAGGAAGATGGGCTTTAACATTAGCAATGCCACTCAATGCAGGATATTGTCAGGACAAGCATTTTACACGTTTTCTTCAGTTAAAGGTTGACCTTTGTCTGGGGCTTGTCCAAAATAGTTTATAGAATGAATGCAATTGATTTACTTTGTCAGTCATACATTTTTTTTTCATGTTTTATCATGTTCACAACTAGCAATACACATTATAATTTATGATTACTTTATGTATAATGTATGAATCAGCAGTTACCAATGTTAGCTTATGGGACAGTTAATATATGTACCAGAAAATTTCAGCATATATTCAAGCGAATGCTATGCATTCAAGTCAACTCTCCCTTAACTCACTGTAATATGATTATTGCAAATAATTATCTTGCCATTTGATTGACAGTTAATGTCATTGTTATGGTATTTCTAAAGTGGATAATAAGTTACTTTATAAATTAAAATAAAATATCATTTCCCATTCAGCTCTGAATCCCTGTTAAAAACTACAGCGTTTAAATTAAAATAATTCCTCTTTTAGTGATTAGTGTAACGTACAAACATGTCAAGGTTTGCATCACTAATATTATTCTTCCCAGTTGTGGAAACTCAAATCTAATGCATTTATTGCACTGTGTTTGAGAGATTCATACATATAGATAGATTTATTTGAGCACATTATGTTTAAGTTCTAGTATTTTTCTGCTTTGTGTATATTTTGAACTCATATTTTAATCAATGCAGTGTGGAGATGTAATATCATTTGTCTCATGCCTGCATTAAACAGCTTTCTTCTGGCTACATCTTACATTTACAATGTAAATCACCTAATTTTTTAAAATGATTCTACTATTTTATGTACTAAATTTCTATTACCTAGATTCACATCTTTCAATTCCCTGACTCTATTATACACACAGTATGTAACTGACAAACTTAATGGATTTTTCTCCACAATATTTACCAGCTTCCTACATGAATATTAATATTGCATAAGAGGTTAAATGCTCTATGTATTTGTTTGAGGATAACCATGGTAAAAGATTTTTCTTGACCAGCTAATGGACTATAGCTGTGCCAGTAAATCAACATTGCTTAAAATTAATAGAAAGCAACATCACTCGTATTTCTTTTGAATTCATACAAGGTGGTGATGTATTGAAGTTTCCTCTATGTAAATTAAATTTTTAATCTGCCTTCATTAGATTCTTTATTGAAAGGGTAATTTGCAGTACCTTTTTCAATTGCTTTTTCGGCAGAACTGGGTGTAAGTCAGCATGTTCACATTGTTAAAATGGGGTCATTTAGACCTTACCTGCTATGATTAGGGCTCTCATCCACCAAATCTGCTTAGATATCATGCCTACAGAAAAGAAATTCTGACAACAAGGTGACCTCATCAGCCCATGTTTGGAGTAATCATTGACTACATCCCCATTGTTACTAACACGATCCAGAAATTTGGGTCAGGTGTTTAATTTATATAAAATGAATTCAAAGAAGTACATTGAAGTGTTCTTTACCCTTGATTTACTTTCTGGCACAATCAGAACTATATATATATCAATGAACAATCTTACAATTGTAACCTGTAGTTGATAACTGCTGCAAAACTCTTTCCTTTGTTCCTGCTGTATTATCCTTATGCAGTGTGGACAGGGTTAAACTGAATATTCTTTAATCCAAAAGTGCAGCAACCATCTTTAAGGAGACCATTTTGCAATGCTCATCTATGAAGTGTCTGGTGGTAGGGTGCAGCCATCTTGGTTGGGTCTGGGTTGATCCTGGAGGACAATGATTGGCTGATACAACAATGCAAGGAGAAGTATGTATGCAGGAGGCAGAGAGGAAGGGAGAAGATAATCTTAAAGCAAGCAGGGGTTGGGAAAAAGATTGGGCTACCAGCTGAATGGAACCCTACTATTGTGTGAGAAGTTAAACCAGCAAAGAGACTGCAAAATATATGTTGCTACTCTGCAAAACTATCCCCTTCACCTTTGAATACACCTGCTCCACTTTTCCAGCCATATGCAGTACTAAAAAAGTAGGATCCAACAAGCTGCACTTTCAAATAGCATTCGGAAGTGCAGCTTGTTGGATCCTACTTGTTACCACTGTAAGCAAAGAGACTGCTCATCACACAGGCCTTTTCTTCAGAGACTGAGAATTTTCTCCTTGGGTATGTGTGAGGAGTAATTTAGATGCCTGGTGAGATAAGACTATACTAGAGAGCACTTCTACTGCTTGTAATGAAGGAAAAGAGGGACTGTCTCAGCAGGATTATAAGAGAGACATCACAGCAATTCCTATCCCTGTCTGGGGACTTGAACTGAATCAAAGCAAATGTCCAGAGACCCAGGAGGGAGCTCTCTAGTTTGTTAAGAGACTAACATTGCACAAGTTAACCATTTGCCCTGCAGAGGATTTACTCCCCTTCCTGACCAGGCCATTTTTTGCACTATGGTGCTGCATTACTTTAACTAACAATTGCGCAGTCATGCAACACTGCACCCAAATTAAATTTATTTTTTTCAGTGGTATTTGATCACCTCTGCGGTTTTTTTTTTTTTTGCGCTATAAACAAAAAAAGACGGACAATTTTGAAAAAAAAAAACAATTTTTTTTACTTTTTGCTATTAAAAATGTTCAGTAAAAAAAATTAAAAAAATCTAATTTTGTCATAAACCTAGGCTAAAATGTATTCTGCTACGTCTTTGCTAAAAAAAATCCCAATACGTATAAATTCATTGGTTTGCATGAAAGTTATAGTGTCTACAAATGGCAGTATATATATACTAGAATTTTTTTTTATACTAATAATGGCAGCGATCAGGAACTTATATCGGGATTGTGGCAGGCATTCTGATATTGGGGGGCTGACTAACTGTCACTGACATCCCCAGTGACACTAATAAAAAGCATTGACACTGTACTAATGATACTGGGCAGGAAGGGGTTAACATCTGGGGCGATCGAATGGTTAACTGTGTGCTTTGTGCTGTTTTACTATTGTGCATGTGTGTGTTGTACTGTGTAAGCACATTGCTTTGTATTGCTCTGCTATGCATGCAGAGCAATACAAAACAGTGTGCTGGAGCTGACAGGGGAGAGATCTGTATTGTGTTTACATACAGACCTCCCCCATCAGTGATACTGGGCAATGATCAGGTACCAGTGGGGAATCACCGGCCAGGACCCAATGATCAACAGTTGAAGCAACAAATGATAATGAAAAATTACGTATATATATATGATTTTGCGCAGCCCTGCTGCTCTGTAACAGTATTTCTGCTATAGGGCAGCGGGCAAGCAGGTAAACTGTTGTCTGCGTGGACCTGTTTTGCTTTCTTCAAGTACACCAACTTTGCTGGCCAATGGGTTTTTATCATCATTCACTGGCCAGTGGAATAAAACAAGGACTGTTGTAGAAAGATAGGACTGTCGTTATATACTGTTACTAGGTAGAAGCAATTCAGTTCTGTTAATTACTGTTAGTCAGAATACTGCAGGTGTTTAACCATATCTCTCAGAGTAATATTATTGTCTTAGTGATTGTTTGTATAATTACACTTGCTAATCCTCTCAATCCTCAATACTTGGCCTAATAAATTCTTTGAAATATTTCAGGGTAAGTCAATTGGGTGAGGGAGGAGTGTCATCTTCAGGTGTGCAGAGAAACCACAAAATAATTCAGTGGCTCCTCTGGGAGTGGCACTACACAATCTTTTGAAGAGTGAACATACTAATCCTTATACATTTTTAAAAAGACGTATTCTTGTATTATAAGTATCACCACTTAATCAAAGTATAAGCAAATCTGTTTGAAAAAAATTGTAACAAACGAGACTGCTTTTTTTTGCCAACCTAATTGTGTGCATATCCTGGGGCGGACTGACCATTTGGAAATGCGGGCACTGCTCGAGGGCCCGGGGTCAGTAGGGGGCCCCATGAGAGGCCCCTGGTACCTTTTTCATAGGCTTTTTTGAGTTTGGCAAGGACACAGGGTCCCCATGATCCTCTATTGCCCGGGGGCCCCATGAGTTGTCAGTCCGCCCCTGTGCATATCCTTTCTGCAGATTAGCTCTAGTATCTGATCAGTTTATCTACTCACTTGGTCCCAGGAGTTTTTGATTCAAACTGACTGAGGCTCGGTTCACATTACTGCGACCTGAAAGTAATGCGACTTACTGTGCGACTTTACCAGGCGACTTACTATTGATTTGCTGGTGACTTGATGCAACTCGAGTACAACTTTCATGTGACTTGATGCATGACTTTCATGCCATGTGACTTTGCCTGGGTAATCTTCCTGTAATGTTGGGTCCAAATCACATGAATATAGATGAGGATCAGACTTGGAGAACAGACTTACATTAAAGTCTATGGGCAAAAGTCAGATAGTCACTTTGAAGTAGTACAGGAACCTTTTCTAAAGTCGGGCGACTTCAGTAATGCTAATTAAAACAGCTCTCATTGACTAACATGGGATTTCACATGTCATGCAAACCAAGCCTAAAAGGTATAATATACCAGATATATTTCTTTGAAGGTAATAACAGTATTTGTCATGTTGAACACTTTCCAACATGACACTTGAAAATGAGTAGGTAGACCCTTAGATTGAGCAGCTCAGACTACTGGTCTAGTTTCATCATACAGTAGTTTATGATTTGTCTTAGAAATAAATTATATGTTTATAGAATAATAAAGAATACTTCTTCCCCTATTGTTATTGGCAATAACCAATGCCACCAATGGTGGAAATTCCTGTAAAAAAAAGCACACACTATGGTTAGTATTTATTGGCCAATCAAAACAAAAGTTTTACTTTACTACAAGGATAAAATCTGTTTTCATTGCAGTTGAAAAATTAAAATACATGGAGTTGAATCTGGTTTTTGAGTGATGGATCTTTCAGTGTTACAAAGAACAAATTGTAAACTAGCCATGAAGCTTGAAACTGTCACTATAATTTTCAACTAGTTCCTCTAACTCTGACCCATGGTCATTAACAGACTCTGCGACTGACTCTGTTTAATGTTATGCCGTTTATAATGACAACAATCCTGTATGACTAGAAAAAGTGAGAAGAAATTATGACAGCTTGTAGAGAACATTATCAATGAGAAAATGCACTATAGCGTTATTTATAACACTGAGTGAGAAGTGATAACAATTAGTGACAAGCTGGAACAATTTTAAAACACACTTTGACTGATTTGAGGAAGATGTTGAAAGAGAGCAAGCAATACCCAATGTTTGCAATGGCTGTTTAGCATTGTGATTTCTGAAGCCTTAGAGGACTATTTACAAATGTCAAGTGGCTGTGCACTTAGATAATGGTGATCACTGTGGTTCCAAACTGTTTTGGAAAGGGACAAGAATACACAGGGGATACATGAGATCATAAAAAGCACCATGGGGACCTGCTGAAGACCACAAAAATCAAATATGGCGCAGCCTTTTTGGTGCAAACTACCAAAATATCATGTAAGCTTTTTAAGTGGTGGAAGAAGGTAAAAAACCTTCAGGGTTCAGCCCACTCAACCCCCCCCCCCAATACTTAACTGAGCCTGATCTCAATCCAGCAATGTGCACGGGAGCAGAGACTCTTCATGGTCTTTTCACTCCTCATTGGCTGAAACACAGCAGTGGGAGCCATTGGCTCATGGTGCTGTCAATCACAACCAGTGAGGAGGGAGAAGGGGGTGGGATTGAGCCATGCTCTGTGTGTCCCATAGACTCAGGCGCAAGTACACGCTCGGCAACGAGGAGGGTCCAGCAGAGACCTGAAAAGAGTAAATATTAACTAATAAATACCTTTTCTCATCAGTAGCTAGAGCAGTCGTGTGACTTCTATCAGTGTCCAAAAGAGCACTGGTTTAAGTTTGTTGGAGGAGTTTTCATTCTCCTCTATGAGGCTGCAGGACCCCTGACCCTCTGTCTGACCAGTGCTGATTGGCCCTGTGCTGATCACATACAATCTCCCAAGAAAAAAAAAACTCTCTAACAATACACACCAAAATGAGCATGTGCAGCTTGCTCCCGAGCAGGGGCGGACTAACAAGCATGGGGCCCCCGAACAATAGGGGATCATGGGGCCCCTGTGTCCTCACCCACACTCAAACCACACCCAAAAAAGCCTATGAAAGGTACCAGGGGCATCTCATGGGACCCCCTACTGACCCTGGGCCCTCGGGCAGTGCCCGAGTTCCCGAATGGTTAGTCTGCCCCTGCTCCCGAGTCTCTGTTCTATCAGGAGATAAACTGGGGACTGTGGACAATGCAGAGGATTAAACCTTTAGGTTCCACAGTGAGTATAACAAGCATACTTTACTTCATATACTGACTGATTTTACTGTTGAGGGTTTAGTAACACTTTAACTAATTCTTACAAGAGGTTTATGGACAGTTCTACATTGTTTTCTAATTTCTTTCTTTTCTACTTCTTCCTTTTTAAGCATTCTCTCAATTTTTTTTTGTTTTGTTTTTTGTTTCTTTTTACTAACTTCTCTTCTTTTTACTAACTCCTCTTCTTTTAGGTCCACACTAGGCAGAAATTTCACACAAGTCTGTGAGTACTGTTTCCCTCCCCCAGTCTTTGCTTTTGCTGTATCTTATCTCTAGTCGAACCCTAGTCTTTTAACCATTGCTGTGTACATCTGTTTGTGTGTGTTTCTTTCTGGGGTTTTTTTCTCTTCATCCCCCACATCTCTTCTAACATTCTGCTAAAACTTTGTGTAGTATTGCCTGTACCTTGAAAAAGGGGGCATACCCCGAAAGCTTGTCCTCAAAATTGTATGTTAGTGCAAATAAAAAAAAGTATCACGTCAGTACTCAATTGTTTCTGACACAAGTCTATTAAGATTGTACGCAAAGCTTCTAGATATGTTTAGGAGAGATCACAGAATTTGTACAGTCATTACAACAACTAGGTATTCTTTCTAGTAACACACTTCAGTGAAGAACATACTCTCCTTTGCAATTTGAATTTTTTTTATATCTTTGGTTTTAAACTGAAAATCCAGATTTAAAATTATAATAGGCTGTATCTAATAACAATGTGAACCTTATTTGATAAAATAGTGCTATCCTGTGCTGATATTGGTTAATTTTCCTCAAATTATTTTCATGCTAAAGGAAAAAAACTGTGCCCAAGATGCAAAATAATACTCTCTTTTACTTATCCTGATTCAGTGAACTCATCTTTTAAAAGCTCTAAATTATACAATATATTTATTGGAAATATCTCAGCCTAAGTGAAGGTGGCAGAGAAATCTAAGCCTTCAACGTCCAGACAAGGTTCAAGCCCATCATCAGAAAATGAGGAACCTGATCCATGTACAGTATTTTTGATTTTACTATGGTGGCTCCTTGTATTATTGCAGTGAAAAAGGCGATTGAGTGGTAAGAAGACGTCTCCCCTCCTAAAAAGAAATGACATTACTATTTAAGTTTGAAGAAACGGGACCCATCTTTTCCTTTGAGAAGTGACATCAAAATGATCTTTCATGATAAGTGAGTACATCTAGATCAAAAAGTAAAGTTGCAGAACCATTTCTCTAAACTTTATCCTATTGAAGTGGCAGACTCCTGTAGATATGAGTAAGGACATGCAAAATGAGAACTTTTATGGTGCAGCAGGACTAACTTGTCGGGCTCTGGTGGCTTAAACTTTAACAGCCAAAGTTATCAAGGCTTGGACAGAAAATCTTGAAACAGCATTATGATCAGGCACAGACTCAGCAACTATTATTTACAACTTATATGAGTTTAGGCTTTCAGCAGATTTTGTGGATGAATTGGACATAGAATTTACTCATTTGTCAGCAAAACCGATGGTTCACCCAGCAAAAGAGCCTTATAGTAAAACCTTGGACCAAGCTATCTAGCAGGGAACTATGAGGAAATCAGGCCTCATTCCTTAGGACTAGAATATGTAGAATTTTCATCGAAATCAAAGATTTCCAGATCAGTGCTGGGATGCCAGTGCTTACAAACCAGGACAAAAATATATCATGCAGCAGTGGAGAGGAGTTAATTTTTAGCAATGTTAAAGCTGCTTAATCTTCAATTAAAGGATTCACTAAATGCCTTCTGAAGGTGTACTCACCCTAATTCTGCTGGGTGCTAGATTAGCTAATTTTCACATGTTTTTTTCACATTCATAACAAACAGGAATTGACACTTCTGAAAAGGAACTTTCAAGCACATTTCTTCTCCTAAGCCCCAGTAGAACATTTTCTGAAAACAAGACTTCCAGTTCACCCTGAGAAGAAATTAGTGCTATAGTTCTATTTTCAAAAGTTGCTAGTATCAGAAGCAATTGTGAGAGTACAATAGCAAGGAATGGGCTTTTATTCACCTCACCAGTCTTCTTAGCTAGGAAAGCAAGTGGGGTTTTTCTTCTAGTACTAGATTCAAACTGCTTAAAAAGTTCATAACTGTCATATGGGGGTTTATTTACTAAAGCTGGAGAGTCCAAAATCAGACTCCCTTCTGCATAGAAACCAATCAGCTTCCAGGTTTCATTGCCAAAGCTTCATTGAACAAGCTGAGGTTAGATGCTGATTGGTTTCTATGCAGAAGGGAGTCTGATTTTGGACTCTCCAGCTTTAGTAAATAAACCACATGGAGTCTTTATACATGATTATTTCAGTAGTAATGGTTGGATGACCTTGACAGATATTACAAATGCATGTGCCCACTGCTTTGATGTATCAGGCATTTCTGTACTTTGCAGTCAATGGGGATTGTTTTCATTCCTATTTTCTAAAATTCAGTCTCTCTATGGCACCAAGATCTTTTATTATTATACAGTATTTATATAGCGTCAAAAGGTTTGCTCAGCGCTGTACATTATAGTGGAGGAAAGTACATGAGACAATACAGTAACAAAACAATACACGAGGGGTTCGAGGGCCCTACTCTTTCGAGGAGCTTACAATCTAGGAGGGAGGGGATAGTTTTACAGGAGGAAGAGGCTGTGGGGGATGGAGTGGCAGGAGGAGTAGAAATCGGCTGTTAGTGAGGGTGGGGTAGGCTTCCCTGAAGAGATGGGTTATCAGGGTGCACCTGAAGGTGAGGAGGGTAGGTGACAGTCTGATAGATTGGGGTAGAGAGTT